GATCCAATCCAATTGAGGGAATTCCAACACTTCATCGCTTCGAATTATTGATTTTAATTTCACGTTTCAACATTGAATTTTATTACACATTTGAGAGAACAATTCAGCCTCTTTGGTCCTTTAAATATTCTTCCATCTCCCTGTGGATACGACACCACAAAGCTGTGCTACAACTACCGCGTTATTCTTTGGGCGTAATCAGGGGTCAACAAAAAATGTTTTCAATAGCTAAAGAAAATGCTTCGCCCTCCTTTGATTTCCCTTTTTTTGCTAGTTGCGTTTGACTTGTATATGATATTCTTAAAGGGTATTGGGAACAAAGATCTAATTACCTTTTCGTCTTTGACCTTTTTAGTGGAAGGATAACAAGAAAACCCTTTTGTTTCAATCTTTAAATACGAATGGTAAATCACACAAGAGAGAAAAAAGGATCCATGCAGATGGAGAACTCCCAATCCGCATTTATAATTTTAAATTATACTTTAATCATTTACAATTCTAAATTACATTTCATTATTAAGTAAATTGAAATCAACTAAATTATAATTATAAATTATTAAAAAAAGTTGAAAATAATCAGGTAAAACTACATTATTTGTACACCTCCATTCTCTAATAAAAGTTCTACATTTTCAATATTGATAAAATGAAACCGCATGGTAAAGCCCCATCATTTCAACAAAAAAGACATGAAAATGATCCACGTCGGATGGACGAACTTATTATTTAGTAGATAATGGACTTTATATTTTATGGGTCATTTTTAATATTTAGCTCATTAGCTTAGTTTTTATTTTTTTTATTATATCATTTTTATATATTATATATAATTAAATATTAATGTTTTGTTGATTGGGGCAGTGAAAGGGATGGGGCAGTCCCTGCTTATTCGATGTCGCATCGGGATCTATGCAGATGAAGAACTGCCAATCGGCATTTATAATTTTAAATTATGCTTTAATCATTTACAGTTTTAAATTACATTTTATTATTAAGTAAATTGAAGTAAACTAAATTATAATTATAAAATTGAATAGAATTAGGTTAAACTACATTATTTGTACACTCCATTTTCTAATAAAAGCTCTAGATTTTCAATATTGGACAAAACGAAAACTTTAGTAAAGCCCCAACATTTCAATAAAAAAGACGTGAACATGATCAACGCCGGACGGACTAAATTATTATTTGGTGGATAATGGAGTTTACATTTTTTGAGTCATTTTTAATATTTAACTCATTAGCGGTTTTTTTACTTTTTATATTCTATCATTTCAATATATTATATATAATTAAAAAGTATTATTTTATTAATTGTGGCGGTGAACGGGACGAGGATGGGAACGAGACTATTGTCCCCTTCACCGTTGCTGACCATTGTCCCTCCTTATTCGATG